CAAATTAGCTTTAAAAATCTTCAAAGTAAAATTACTAATATCCAAACTACTAACTTGTCTATATCTTTTTTACAGAGATTTACTAATGTACTCCAATCTATTCTATACAAAATATCCAAATACTTGAAAACACAGTTTATATGCTTACTTGTTCATACAATTCTACAAATATCGAAAAAATTATATACAAAGCAATAACTAAAGTTTGCCAAACAAATAAGATAAACACACTACTAAGGGGAGTAATAAAAATCAGGTAATTTTTTAGGAGGGGAGGGGGTAAAAAAAGTTAAAATTATATATAAAGATCTGATCAAATATATAATAAGAAGGGGGAGAGGGGGTATGCCTCTGATAAAAATAAATCAGGTGATAAATGACACTACCCTAACCTATAAATTTATTCAAGATTTTATTACAATTCACATTTATAAACAAATCCTAATTGGCTTTATCAATTCAACTATATTATTAAAACTATATCTATTCTCTCAAAACAATATCTTAATTTTACAAATACAGTATACCCTGTCAAATCTGATATCTTTGGTAGACAAAATTTGTATCAGTTTTGAGAAGTTATCAGATTTAAAAGGATATAGGTTTTGATGAATGCCTGGTGTCACATGATTCGGCAAAAGGTAATTGGCCAATCAACTCAACTAATATTAAAATATACAGTATATATATATTTAAATCCTGACTATAAATATTTAAAAAATTTATTCTAACCAAAGAGCTCTATATAGCAGGTCTTCCAGTTATTCCGCCGTTGAAGGCTGATTTCTGGTAAGCATAAACTAGAAAGCTTTTCAATAGTTAGCAAGACTTTTGGCTTTTTAGTAAAACATGACATCAAACAAAAATAGTTGTACATGTACTTATAATACAAAACCAATCAGCAAACCCGAAATCCAGCTTCTCTTATATACTTTATTACTTAGTCAAATTCGTGCTACACATATAAATATTTATACCATATCAATATTATTCAAAAGTTGCTAATAAGAATATTTTATTGATCCTTATAATATTCTTCACAAATAATGATAGCGATTTGGTTAATTAGATGTTTCTCTATTGAAATTGGACATGTGTCTAATTTCAATTGAAAATATGTCTACTTAGCCCAATCGACAACACTGACTGCACACACATAATATGTTGATCCTACCATTTTGTCGCACTTTAAGTAAAAAAAATAAAAAAAAATCAAATGAAAATAAAAAAAATCAAATGAAAATAAACTGTATATGGTCTAGCTGATGCCTTGAAACCAGTTAGGATCAAGTTGAGTCTTAGCTCTAAGTCATGATCATGGATGTAAACCATGATAATTTATAAGTTCTGGTGGTAAGTTACCAAAATAGTAAGTTACCAACAAAATATTGTAAGTTATCATACTAACTTACCATGGAAATAATCTTGTCGTGGTTCAAGTAATGGTTCTGAATGAACCCAATTAGCTTCAAGTCATGGCTTTGCAGCATAAAATTAAGCGAATAATGTCCATAATTAAAACTGTGACTTTAAAGATGAATAAAATGCCTAATAATTTCTAGTGAAATGCTTGGCAATAAGAATGCATTTTAGATTAGATATGATAACAGCCATCAATATTGTAAATAAGTGTAAAAAGCTATATAAAATGCAAAAAAAAAAAAAAAAAACACTCGTCCTTTATAAAGAGTTTCTCCATTTAATTTTGATCCCACTTAAATTGTACATTCGAGTAGAAATTTTTTGATTTTAGGACTTCAATATCTATAAAAATAATGAAAACTAAAAACCCTTCAGCTAGAAATTTGTGCAATAAACAACATAAAGTGTTATGTGAACATCACCAAATAAATCCATCACTCACTCAAAAAGAACTTGCTGAGTGGGCCAAAAAAGAATTTAACCTTATTAAAGCCCCGACACAAAGTACAATCTCAGATATTCTAAGAAAAAAAGATGATTTTAGTAAAATGTCTTTAAGTGATCTCTCAATTAAAAAACACTGTATTATTATGATCCCTGAATTAGATAATGCATTGGCAAATTGGATTTTATAGTGTGAGCATCGGGGAGTACACCTAAGTAGTGACATAATTAAAGCTAAGGGTAAAAAGTTTGCAGAGTTATTAAATATTCCTGAGAACGACCAACCAGAGTTTTCAAATAGTTAGTTATATTCTTTCCAAGAAAGATATAATTTCTATAAAATTAGATTGTTTGGTGAAAGTAGTTCTGCTGATATTGTCGCTATTAACTTGAGTCTTCCACATATTATTCATACTACTGATCATTATTCTTTGTATAATATTTACAACATGGATGAGACAGGTTTGTTTTACTCTATGGTACCTGATCGTACAATCGTGTTTTGTCAAGTTGAAGGGTCAAAAAAAGACAAGGTAAGAATCACAATTGCACTTACAGCCAATGCTGATGGTATACATAAGCTTCTTCCTTTTTTTATTGAATATGCAAAAAAACCAAGATGCTTTAAAAAAAAATCTGGAGAAGAGCTTGGATTTTACTATTGCAATAATAAAAAAGCGTGGATAACAGCTGTATTTTTTCAGGAATAGGTAAAAAAGTTAGATATGCAAATGAATAGATCAAATTGCCATATTCTTCTCATTCTTGACAATGCCACTTCACATGCTATCAGTACACTTTACTTGACCAATATAGAAATACTTTTCCTGCCAAAAAACACAACGTCAAAAATCCAGCCTATGAACACCAGGATTATCACATCCTTCAAACTTCGTTATTGCCATCTACAACTTCAACATGCAATAGAACATGATGAAAATGATATTTATAAAGTTAACCAGTTGCAAGGCATGAGGTGGGCAAAAATTGCCTGGAATGAAGTAATTGTTGAAATGATTAAAAATTGCTGGGCCCATATAAAAATTATATCATCTCGTGATGAATCCAGAATGCCTATCGTCTCTGAAAGTGGAAATATAAGTATGGAAGAAAATTTAGTGAAAGAAAATGTTGAATGTGTAGAAGAAAACTTAAATGAAGAGTTAATTAATGATCTTCAGTGCCAAATGGTTGCACTACATGTTTGTACTCCAATATCAGTCAAAAATTGGTTAAATCCTAAAGGTGAAGAAGATGTGCATCAACAATTTACAGACAATGACTTCGTCCAAGGTGCAATTGAAGTAGAACAAGGGGAAGAGGAAGAAGTTGTAGAACCATCTCTAACCCCAAAAGAAAAATTAGCCATCTTGCATGAAGCCCTAAAAATTGTGGTTGAAATGGTTGATAATAATGGAATAACAATGAAATCTTTGCGCAAGATACAAACCCGCATCTATGAGGAAGTTCAAAGGGAAAAGAATGAAAAGCAGGTTCAATATAAACTGGATCAATTCTTTTTCAAAGTGCATGATCATAGTTATTGAGAATAAATTGGTCATTCTTATTTTATTTCCTACATTAATGAAAAATAGTTACTTCATAAGATGAAAGCAAAACTAATGAATTTAACAAACATATAGAATACAGAATAAACTGTGAAAAGAAGTTTAAAATATGAAACACTTGGGGTCTTGTTTGTGGTCTTGCTTCATGATTATAAAACTGATCTGTGAATTTTTTTTTTTTTATAAGAAGCCATCTAAATTAAAAATAATTTATGCTGTTATTAATAAAATAAATTCTAAGAATTACAAGCATAACATTTGAAAAGACAAAAGTTTTTTATTTTATTTCTGCTTCTTGTATTGGTATTTGATAATCAGTAACCTTTTCTGTAAAGGTGTTGTTTTTGATGCATTAATAAGTGGATTTCTATGATCATATCAAAAATGATATCTTCTTGCACATTACTATTACACAAAACTCCTGTATTGTAAACCCGATATCTTGTCATTTGAATATCGATTATCAGAAATAGCAGGTTATCAGGTTTGGCTTATGAAACAAGCATGGTGAATCAATTTTTTATCGGATATAACAGGTTATTGGTTTTAACAGGATCAGTTTTGACAGGGTATACTGTATAACAATATATAGAAACCAAGCTGAATATATTTACAACAATCTACTCCAAATTCTCTTGTTATTATTATACTTTTAGAAAATTACAACCTTTTTAACTTAGCAAATAATTAATTTCTTATATAGCTTAACAATTTTATTTACTATAATTCTATATTCTTACTTTTTAATTACATAGTTTAGAGATTTTTTGATTATTCTAGCTAAGAATAGATCAAGAGTAAATCCTAGCCCTAACTTCTACTCCTTTTTGTTAAATGTATAAATCTGTACTAGTTGTATTTAATTATATATTTTGAAATAAAGAAATAAAGAAGAAATCTTTTTTTAAAAAAAAAAAAAAAAACTTTAGATATATATATCTTAAAAACTACTAGTTTTAATATAATAATTTTACTACTATTAGAACTAGTATTATATTAGTAATATATTAGTATTTTTAAATTTTTATTAAGTAACTCTATGTAACTTCTAATTGTAGTACAAACCTGATTCCACTAATAGAATCCTTGATATTAATTTTCTTAGCATAGTTTTTACCATTTGTCAATCATGTTATTAAGATTTAAAGATATATCTCTTAAAATATAGACTAGCACAAGCAAATTTGTCTATGTTTTTGTACTTTTTTAGCTCTGATTTACTTTTTTAAAATGCCAAAATATTTAAATAAAACTTTGCACAATTATATT